CAAACATGACAAAAGTCTCTTAATTACCCTGGCTAGGATCATAGAACCTCTCTATCAGAGAGACAACAGTACTCTTCCCTGAACCACTACCACCAACAACTGCAACAGTCTTTCCTGCAGGAAAGAAGATTGAAAAATTGCGAAAGATGATCACATCTGGTCTTGATGGGTAGCTGAAAGTTACATCCTTGAATTCTATATTGCCATTAACCTCAGGCAGTACTTTCCCATCAGAATGGTCTTGGATTATGGAGGGCTTTTGCTTGATAATCTCCATCAACTTGTAACCAGCTGTTTTGCCTTTACTAAATGCCCCAAGATTGGAAAATGACTGTCCCAAACTCCTGCAATAGAAAATTTTATACAATTAAAATCGACAGTTAAGCTTAATTCATCTTCAATCAGAAAAGATAAGATATATGAGCTTAATATCTTACATGCCACCAACAATGGCAGAAAAAATTGCTGTGAATGCCTTCCCTCCGTCTGTCTGTCCATTCCTGATAAAAACACCAGCATACCAGAACACAAGGGCCCAAGACATGCAAGCTATGCCATATGTACACCCTAGCCCCAAACCCTTGGCCATGCCAGCCTTATATCCAAGTTTTAGCGTGTTCTGTATTGCATCTGAGTAGGAATTAAGGGCCTTGCTCTCACCAACGTACGAATAAACAGTACGAACTTGTGCAATGGCCTGTCCACATGATTAACGACTTAGGCAACCAGGCAGTAAAAATAAAATTAATGACGTAATTCTCCCAAAAATAAAGGTCTTCTACTGTAATATGGGATAAATTTCTGACAACAGAAATAAGAAAGCAATTTGAAATTCCATCAGGAATTTGGAAAATGATAGTGATGAAGTTGAAAGAAAAGCGACTCCGTTGAGTGTTACACAGCAGAAGGCAGTGTAACAAATACTTCATTATTACAAACCACATAGAATAAATATAGTCCATAACCACAATATAACAAACAGGATATACCAGTTATAAAAAAAATTAAAAGTTAATTTATGCTTTCTCAGGCCAAAATAGCTCACCTGCTCAGCAATTATGCCAGCATTTGCATAGGATTCCCGGCTCTTGGAAGTGAGGCCGGTCAGAGTATACGCATATAAGCCACCAGCAAAGGCAATTCCAGGGATCACTGCCACACTTAGCAGTGCTAACCTCCAGGCTGATACAAAACCAACCACCAAACCAGCCAGGAAAGTTGACAAATAGTGTATGAAGTTCCCAACCTAAAGAAAAGGAAAAATATGTTAGTCCTTAATGCTTAAAGAACCTCTTATTTCATTCCATTGATCACTGAAGAAACCAAATGGAGAACGTACAAACAAAATATGCCCGCGCACGATAACACAGATATGCTAACGTGCACGATCAAAGATTCAAGCCCGAAATTACAAAGTAGGGGACCAGCATTTATGTATAAGCAACAAACCCAGATTAGCAAATTGAAAACTAACGCCATGGCCAGCATCAGATTACACCCATGAAACAGAAAAAAGCGAAAAAATTAAAAAAAAAAAAAGAGGAAAAACCAACAACCAACCAACCTACCTTCTCACTGATGGCATCTTGGACAAGTAGAGTATCAGTTGAAATACTAAAAACAATATCCCCAGTTCTAGCATCAGTGTCAAAGAATCCAACATCTTGCTTCAACACTGCTTCTAAATACTTCTTTCTCAATGTACTTACTTGTCTTTCCCCAGTGTACATCCAACACGCAATCTCTGGTTACCAAAAGAAGAAAACCACATAGTAAAGTTTTCACTTTTTTAACAGCTAAAATTAACAGCTCCCTACCACAGTAAGAAATCAAATGTACTTACGATGAAAGAGATGCGACTATAGTGGAAGATAATGCTGAAAATATATAACTTAAAAGAAATGAAAATGAGAAATTTATTAAAAGGGTTTTGAGATTGACAAGTGAAGAAACAAAACGACAAAGAGACAGCCCTTAAGACCACGTGGGCACACACCCACCGGTCCGATTTTGGTTGAACTGGCTACACTACACGAGTCACTTATGACTGAGCCCATGGTGCAACAACTGTACTGTTGCCCGAACGATTCCTTTCAAAGATTGTATACATTTAAAAGAAAAAGGACTCAACTCTTAATTCTTAACCAAAAAATAAAATATCAAAAGAATAAGAAAATGAAATATACCTGCATAAGATGATAGGCAGACAATAAGACCAAGATACACAAAATAGAGTGCATACTGCATTAAAACAACAACAAAATTAACAAATCTTAGATCTAAAAACATTTATGAAAAAATTATAATAAAACAGAGAAAAGGAAAATTTTTTATTTGATAAAAAAAACAAACAAACCTTGGCAACTTCATGAGTCATTTTGGACAAATCAGATTGGTTTTTTCCAAAGCCATTAACCATTTCACCAAATAATAAGAAGAAAACAGGCATTGAGGAACCATGGATCATAGCTCCCAAGCTACCAGAGATCATCAAGAAATAATCATATTTGTCTGCAAAAGAGAAAAGTTGGTAAAATGGCAAGCTTTGTTCTTTCTTCTTTTCTGCTTCCGGGACTGCCTTTGTTTCTGTTGTTTCAGCCATTGTAAACTCAAAATCAACGCTAAACCAACTTTTCGAATGGAAAAAGAAAAAAAAACAAGATAGAAAGGAAGCAAGAGCTAAAATGAGTTGAGTTGGGTTGACTCAGGGAAATTGAGTTAAAATTTTTGATTGAGAACAGCCATTAGGAAGAAAGAGAGAGAGAGGGAGGAGGATCTGGGGAGTGAAAGAAATGAGAGATCTACAGGCCCTTTCTTTTTCTCTCTCTCTCTCTCTTTCTCTTTTTAAGGTCTCGAAAATCTGACAATGTCGTTTTTGAGTTTATCAGTTCGAGAACTAAGTAAAGAGAAGAAAAAGAAAGGAAAGGGCAAAGCACAAAGGGAGTGTTTGAGTGAGTGTATATATAGAGAGAGAAATTGTAAAGTTATACAAGAAAGAGACTGCATCTGTTAGACCATTGGTCAAACCAAAAGAGTTTTTATGGCTCAAAAATTAATATTTCGATTATTATTATTCAATGAAACAGAGTAACATTTTTTCTTCTTTTTTCCAAATAATAACTCTTTTTGGGGCAGATAAATTGGTCTAGATTTTTCTGTCCTAAAGTTAGAGGTTAAACTTACATTTAAGGTTAACATCAATACAAATTCATTAATATAAGATCATCCTATAGTTTCCAATTCAATGTCTGTTGAAAAATGGAATTTTAGGGAAAGAATTTGTAATTTATTTATTTTCCCTTTTCTAAATTTAGTAAAAATAATTTATTTATTTATTTTTAACTAGTATTGATGGATAAACTACTTTCTTGCTAATAGTTTTTTGTTGTTGTTGTTAAAATAAGAACCTTGTAACCAAAATTAAAAGGAAGATTTTAAAAATGGAAGTGATGTTTGAAGATTGAAGCATTTTAAGTGTGGTTACAAAAAAGGAGGTTAGTTTTGTAAAATACTAGTAATAATCACTGAAAGTGTTATGTAATGATAGTTTGTTAGCTTTCCTTTCTGGTTATCTGTGAAAAGGCTTTTGTATTTTTGTGATTTTGCATTTCCATAAAAAAAAATTAAAAATTTTGTTAAGTCATTTGCAGAGAAGCCCTTTCATTCACTGACAATTTGCATGTGTCATTGCAGGCTGCAGCCTCTTTTCTCAGGATGCCTACATATTTTTTGGTTTATGGTGCCTTTTATCCTCTGGTATTTGTTTCCCACCAGGGGTACTTACTCCAATTAGGTTATGAACTGGATTTTTTGCTGCCAAAGTGATAGATTAGCATTAAGTATGTGAATAAATTTCATTAGACAATTTTATTACAAACTAAGTGAGAGGACCAAAAGAACCTTTTTCTTAATAGAATTGATCTCTTGTTTTCAGTACATGAGTCAAATTATCAACTAAAAAAGTTAAAAAGTTAGCATACATCTAATAAAGGAAAAAGTTGAGTGGTAAAGAGATTTGAATATGAAACATTGGTGTTTGTTTTAGAGGAACAAATACGTATGTGGAGCAACATATGCCTAATCTGCTTTACAATAGCTAAACAATAATAACCTCCACTAACAAGCTAGGATGTAGGAAATTTCTTGGTAATAACTGAATGTTCACATGAGAAATTAGATACCCAACTGGACTTGAAATAAACTAACTGTGATTTCCAATACCAAGAGCTATTTAAAATCTAGAAAATATCCGTCCTTGTATATAAAGCATGTACATCATATCTTCACAATCTTTATAATATCTTCTAATGCTAAACAAATCCCACAACTAGTGTGCCTTATGCCAAAAGGCAACCAAAAAATGACCCAGATAATGTTTACTGCTGATTTGTTTCAAATAACATCAAGAAGTTCATGGCAGCCGTAAATATTCCTAGAGAAGAATCATTTATGGGATGATGCAAAAGTTTACTGGGGGAACAGTGGTTTTCCTGAACCCAACGGTCCACAATCAATTCATCCAAACTTCAGTCTAGCATAACTGGAAGTTCATAATAATGTGCCATCAGAAAGACTCAGAAACTTGGCAACTATACCTTGGGTTTTGGCCTCCAGGTTCCAAAAATCTTCTCACAGGGAAATGTAGTTTCCTCCTTATTCCTGCAGTTACTATTACAATGCCTTACCATTCTGTTTTCTGCTACAGCATTTTAAGGCTAAAACAAAAGATATAGACAGGGAAATGGGAGGATTCATATTACACTTTTGGGAGTCGCAGGGTTAGAATTAGATTGGGTCAGAAAGAAAAAGGATAAATGTTTCTGCTTACTTCACTAAAGGCTGGATAGTGACTTGAGAGCAACGGCTTAAATATCTTCGACACCTTCGGAATCGTCTTACTATTCTCCTAAGAAAGAATAACAGGAAACAAGGGTTCCATTATGTCCTAATTATTATAAGATTTCGAAAAGTCCATGTCCATATTTTAATCCTTACTCGTGTACGCAAACCTACTTTGTTTTGATCTTAAATGGGTGGTTACATGTAGCATTCAAAACAATTTGACAATTTGACAATGAAAATACAATGGATAATGTTTCTCTTGAAAATTTTAATGGTATGTGTAATGGATTGACTAGTATTACAATAGCAATTCCTGGAGACGATTGAGACGAAATCAAGTTGGAAACAACTAACTATTCTCTCTTGTTCAAAGGAATGTTTCCAAGTCAAATCTACATTGTTTCCAAACTATTGAGAAGATACAAGGGATAGCAGTCGTTATATGCATTTAATCCACTCAATACGTGAGATATGAGATATATTAGAAAGGGAAATGGTATCCATTCCCAAACGTCGTAGATTATTTCCAAAAAATTACTTTGTTTCTTAACAAAAACATGCACGTTACTTATGTAATTTTATATAATATAAAAATTTATTGTCACGCTCTAAACTCAAAGTTTTAGGATCTAATCATACTTAATCAAATGCACTATGTCCAATGTCTTTTTAAAATCTACACTTTACAAGATTCTCAATTCTCCAAATATAGCATAAGCATGTAACGCAACAATATCATACTTAATCAAATGCACTATGTCCAATGTCTTTTCAAAATCTACACTTTACAAGATTCTCAATTTTTCAAATATAATATTAAAATACAATTTTCCCAAAGATTTAAAATTTTCATCTAGCTAACATTTTCTTATAAGCTAAAAATTGAATACTCACATCATAACTTATAATTATCCAAGGGCGTACTTAAATCTTGCAAACCAAAACTCTCACCAAACAAGTCTAACTTCTAAACATGTCGAACATGTCGAATTTGTAAAATGATGAGAATTAAAGGAATGAATACAACCACTCAATAAGTAACTAATATCTCTTCAACATGATTAAGTACGCTTAAAACATTTAAGCCAAAGTTATCAATATTCACATAGATATCAAGACATAATTTTGGATAATCTCATTTAGAATCATATATTTTAAAATTTTATTTTCAAATAATAGAAATCAATACAATTTCGCATATGATAACGAAGTTAACAAAATTTTGAAACTTTCATATAACAAAACAAAACATCATTTCACACTAAACTCAAACTTTTTTAGTCTCTTGTAATATGTTACGACCACACTCAACTCCTGTGGCATAAGTCAAAAATAAAATCACAATTAATCCTAATGGCACGAGTCAGAATCAAAACCACAATTAATCCTAGTGCATGGGACAGAAGTATTCCAAAAGCAATCATTGACTAAACTAAACAAATGTCACAAATATCACTATTCTGTAACTAATGGTACGATCGGAAGATCGATTTCTAATTACAAACTACATGTCGACATGATCAACATTTACCATTAACAAGGTTAGAGCATAGCCATACTAGGAGACAAACCAAAAATATATATTTTTATATTACTCAATTTCACAAAATAGTGTATCCACTTTCTCAAAACTTATCTTTTACATATCAAAAACATAATTATTTCAAACTAAGTATTCATAAAGATAATCATCTATGTATACATTAAACAAAATCATATTCGAATTTCAAAAGCAGAAATCATGCTTTGTATAGTTTGTATTCTAAATCCAACATACGAAAATCATATATATACATTTTGCATGCTCAATCCGGTTTTAACAAATCATAGGACAAAATATATTTTACATAATATACGAAATTCAAATTCACATTGAGGCTAATTTTTAGAGTATGAAAATACCGAAGGGATATTAGCCACTTACTTGATTCGTCAAACAAAAACCAATGGACAAAGAATCAGAATCCTCTTTAAGCCTATTAATTCAAAGTACTCGAAATTGAAAACCAACAATACTACTTATCAAAACGAATCATTACTCCTTACTAGTCATTCTAAAGCATTTAAGGAGTAGTATCTCTTTTGCTAACAAAAACTAATTTTAATTAAAAATAAAAAATAATTTTTCTTTAATAATTTATAAATACGTAAATTTTCAAAACTTAGAAACTTATAGGTTAAAATACAAAATCAATAACAAATATAAGTTTGATGGAAATACTTCAAATGCTAATTAAACCTTAACTCTTGAATATTGTCAAAAAAATTTTCAAAATCTGCCAATTCAAAAATAATCTTTCAAATAAATATTTATTCATAAAAAATTTCACTCAAATTCAAATATCTTAAATTTCTAAAGTTTATATCAAAATAGGTCAAATATAGGTCAAGAATAATTTTTAAAATAATTAACAATGAATTTTTTATAAATTCTAAAATTTCATATTTTCATGACCATTTTTCTTACTTCAAGCACTTATAACTTTTAACTTGAATTGTTTCCAGTGATAAACTTAAAACCAAATTGAAGTATTCATGTCACACTATAACGTTAAAATTAGTTTTAATGAAAAAGATTGCAAAATTTCCAAGTTACAGAAACCAAAAATTTAAAAATCATTATTTCTGATTTTTAGATTTTCAAGTTCAACGAGTCCATTTTGAGGTTTGATTCTCTTAACACTGAAAGCCCCTAACTGAGCTATTGATACCAAATTAAGTAGCACGATTCAAACTACAAAAGTCCTCAAAAAAAATGACTCAAAATGTTACCAGAATGTTGAGTTTCGGTTATCCAAAGTTAGGTTATCAAAACTATTAAAAATGATTTTCAGTTAATTTCAAAAATTCATATATTCCAAACTACGAAGCCAAATGAGATGTTACAAAAAAACTATTAGAAAGATCTTTTCAAAAACTTTCTGTTGGTACCTATCATGCAAACGAAAAGTCATTAAAACAGTACCAGATTTAAATGAAATTTAAAAAAACATAAACTAATCTTAGGGATTTTTATTTCGAACTATACAAAATACAATTTTCATTAGTTAAAGCCCAATTATACCTTAATCACTGCTTTCTTGAATATATTTTCCTTTTTCTACCTTTTCTTTTTT